CAAAACCTATACGACCCACTTCGTTTTTTATTCACTTAAGTGTTAATTGGTTTATGAGTAAGAATGATACTTATTCATTCCCAATCCATTCCTTGTCATTAAACATGCACGCATGCCCTTAGAGTCACAATCCAAAATTATAATATATCCGAACCCCTAACACTTCTTCAAATTCGTTTGATGTTTAGAATATGATTGAATTCGATCATTTTTTTTTTTTAATACAAAACGATATGACTACTTAAATTTAATTCGGGATGAGGAGAGTTGAACATGGAAGGTTTTCAGGTATGTCATACTCAAAACCTATAGGACCCACTTACTTTTCATTCATTTAAATGTTAATTAGTTCATGAGTAGGAATGATACTTATTCATTTCCACTCCATTCCTTGTAAATAAACATGCACCATGCCCTTATAGTCACAATCCATAATTATAATATCCAAACTCTTAACACTTCTCCAAACTCATTGATATTTCGGATTTGATAATTTTTTTAGTACAAAGCGATATGACTATTTTAATTTATATCAAGGGATGAAGAAGGTTCAACATGGAATGCAGTGGGTTGAATAATAATTACCTACTTACTAGACTAAATGGGCTTGAATGAAGAAATTAATATCAACTTCTAAATTCTAGTTGAAAGTAAAATATGGATGAAAAATGCTAAAAAGATTCTCTTAAAGTAGAACTCTCTATAAACTCTTTGACATCTCACAATTCAAGATCAATTTTCGTGCCAATTTTATAAATTATTTTGCCAAAAGTACGAGCCTACGAGTCCAAATCAATTTAACTCTAGATGCTAAGGTCCTTTTTTTGAGGACCTGTGAGGATCTCTTTTATATGAGTCATAGGATTAATCTTATGGTAAAAAAATTTATGAGTTTATATATATAAACCTCTTACACCTAAACAAAATCAAAACACGCTAACAAGCTTCATGCTCATCCTTCCTTCCTGCTTCGTGAGAGAGGAGCAAAATTGCAACCCGTTCAATCTCAGAGGAAATCTTTTGTCAAGGACATCGTCCCGACCCTCCCTCTCTACTGCTATGCTCCCACACTTGAAGATCATCGCTAACAGTTCGAGATCGTCCCTGGGAAGATTGTTCTTCCATCATACAACAATATACAATTAAAATTAAAAGTGAAGCGAAAAAAAAAAAGGAAGAATGGAGTCGAGGTTGAACCATCACCACAAAGGAATATAAAATAGAATGGTGCTATTAGGAGAGCATTAGATGAAACCCAATTAAAAGAAGAATGGTGCTCTCGATTAAATTACAGCTTCCATTCCACTTTTTTTTTTTCAACAGCAGGGAGGGAGAAATTGAAATCAATACACCACAAAGGAAATACCTTTTCATAGCTTCGAAGAGAATTTTAATTTTCCGAGGGCACTGTGAAATCGAGTCTCATTGCTCTCCTTCAAGGTCGAAAATTTGAGCGTGAACCCTATTTTTATTTTTTTTGGTGTTTTAATTTTGTTTTAGTGTAACAGGATTATATAAACTCAATAGTTTTTCTACTGTTAGATTAATCCTATGACTAATATAAAAGAGGTCCTTACAGGTCCTCAAAAAGAGGACATTAGGGGAGCACTATCGATATTTATATATCTTAATACTCAATATAAAAAAAATCCCATAATCAAAATATTGACAAAAAACAACAACAAAAATTTAAATTGATATAAAAGTACTGTAGGAATAATTTAACAGTAAAACACTGCTAATTGTGGATATAGACTGATGCCGGCCGTCAAACTGTAGACAAATAAAGAACAATATATATAGAGGAATAAACCCCAATTATTTCTCAATAGAATTTGCCTCAGATCTCACCTTTCCAAGTATAGATAGGTTTTGAATAGGTAGCTTCCAATTCGTCTAGGGTGACATCTGATGTAAAGTTTACCTAAATATAAATTCAAAGAGTCAATCACATACTATCATCAGAGCATTTCAAATGAGATACAAAAAACGTCTTAAAATTGGTATTTTATATATTTTTATTGGCCGGAAAGCTCTTTAGTGAGAAAGATGCAAAACACTCATTTTAGCAGGAATATGTAAATAAAAATAAAAATTTACTTTTTTTTTTTATATATCTTTTGGAGGCGAGCCTAACCAGTTAAAGAGAGAAAAATAAATGACATTTCGAATTTGCATCTCTTTCATTAGAAAAAACTGTACATATTCTTGAAATATAAATGAGATGTAAAATATGGGTTTTACATCTCAAATTTGCATATTTCATTTGAAAATGTCCTTACAACACATGATCATATTTCTATTGTTTTTAAATTGTATATGGATTTCATATTTTCAGTATTCAATGAAAACATCATTTCCAAAATACAGATTGATTCTTGCAAAGTCCCGACCACTGACCTCAAGGTTTTATTCTTCTACTTGGAAAATGACTTCCTTTTTTTCCCTATGCTACTGTGAAGTTAGAAAATGACTTGCACCTTACACTTTTAAGTGGTTTACTATTGCTGTCAACAAATAACTGTTAATTGTTCTTTATTTGTGAAGTGATAGGTTGGTATCGATCGACAATTTATAATACATGATTTATTGTTAGTATTAGGGAATGATGTAGGACAAGATATGAGTTGATTTCGACAAAGAAAGAAAAATAAAATAAAATGTTTCAAATTCTGGAGAATAAGAATTAAAGTTGGAAAATATTGGATTTATTTGATATGATGACAAAAAAGGCATCAAAAAATATTCTGATGTCAGAATTAGGCATATAATATGTCGATTTTGAAGAGAATTGCGAGCAAAACAAGTCGTTGATGTTATCAGTGTAAGTCATTTGTCGTCCAAAACTTCGTTTTAAATTAAAAGTCGAACTTTGCGTTTGTCGTCCGATTAATGTCATTTTAATTTCCTAAGCTTTTAAGTGATTTATTTAAGTCGTTAATGTTATCATTGTAACTCATCAATTCAAGACTTAATAAAATTAAACAAAACTTCTGAGAATTTCTCTCTATGTTGGTGGATTTCAGAATTTTGTTCTTCCAGAATTTACGTTTGTAATCCTTTCGCTTCTTGCTGCGTTAAGGGATTGACTACGATATACTTACAATCACCATCTTGCAAATATAATTTATGTGAATATATTATAATACCAAATTTTGATCAAATATCAATAGAGTATCAAACAAATATTGGCAATGTTTCAACTCATGGATTGGTACTCAGACTTCTTTTGTATTCATTCACAGAAATTTTTTATTCCCAGACTCCGTCCATAAAATTAAAGGTTAGACCATGCGAAGAAAAAAAAAATGGTTTAAGGGACATTGATTTGATGCAGACGGAGGAGTTAAGCTTGAGCTATGAGAGACAAGATCTTCTTATCTAGCCGTGTTAGACACTATTTTTTAGACGCCTTTCAAAATTTCAAATGAAAGACGTTTTCAGTCAATATGTTCTGCCGTTCATAGAGGGGGAAAAGGGAGAAGAAGAAGTAGAAGATATTAAAATGATTTTGAATTATTTTCTCTTTTTCCTGTTCAAAATCGCTATCAGAGACTCGATTTTAGTTCGTATTTTTTGTTTGACGGTCTACTCTTTTCATATTGTCACCCTTTGACAACCGTATCTGCAGATACTACCTTCCCACAATATCAGCAGTGATGATATTAAAGATTCCTTGTTGACCTTCAACACCAACAAAACAATCAAAATTTGATTTCAAATTTCTACTACTTTTGGATTCATCCCATCTTTTGCCCCCCGTGCTTAAGTCCTTCTCAGACATGCGCATACATCCCATTTTTGCAGGCATATACATATATATACACATAAATATATATAACATTCATTATGCACGTAAATATTTATAAATATATATAACTTTCATTATGCATGCAATCTTGACCATTCTAAGTATCTTATCTTATTGTATGATATTTTATTATCCATTTTACTAATGTAAAACAATTAATATTTCCAAATATTATGCATGTATGTCACAGCATACATCATCCATTCTTGTAAAATATGAAATTGAATGATGGCTTTACACATGCTGTGAGTTCAAAACTAAGCTTTCATTATTCCAAGGCAGTTCGGGAGTTTAGAGAAACATTCCAAGTCAGTGGTGACGTAACGGAAGAGAATAAGTTAACTAATCGACCCCAATCAAACTGTTCCATGGTGAAAGATGGGTAAGGGGGTCTTAATTAAGGTAAAAAAAAATAGAAAAATGCTTAGGGTCGCTTGAGTTTTAACTACACTTAATGTTATTTTCGAATAAATTCTTGTTCAATAAACTAGCAAGGAAGAATAATGCAAAAACAATAAATTATGTTTAACCAAATGGAAATTATCGAAATATATATGGATGGTCCACTTCATTAATGGTTGAGAACCTAGGCTTCTGTTAGGTTCATTGTTTCCATTTGAGACATGACAATCTATAGAGTTGAATCGAAGATGGAAGAACATATCCAAATTCCTCAGATCTGGTGGTTGGGATACCGGATAAGGCCACAGCAGACTTCATGGCTGATAGGTCATTATATTTTTGCTGTCATTGAACAGGTTTTCTTTCTTTGATTGATGAAAAACCTTAACAACCATCTTATTCTTTGCAACTTGTAATTAGTAATGTTTTTAGAATTGACAGGTCAGATTTGACATGATGACACGCATTAACAAACATTTTATACTATAAACTTATTACTCAGGAGCATTTCGTTTCATTATTCATAAAAAAGAAAAATCAATGTTGAGATAATTAAAAGCGATTTTGATAACTTTTACACACTACTTTTAATCTTTTAAGATTATAGAAACACTTTTCACTACCTTGCTAGAAGTACATTCATTACCAAAGATATCTTTGGTAGTGAATATTTTTTTAACAAAAACGCTTATGAAGAATAGTGATTCATAGGTAAGCATTTTGGTTTATCAAATTTTATGATTTACCCATCAACTTGGATGTTTGAATTTACAAATTTATGGCAAAAAAAAAAAAAACAGATGTATTGGATAAATAGTAATACTGTACTTTCGTTTCAAAGAGGTATGGATGTCTAGGGTAGGACCATGTTTGAAGTAAGTCCCAAATAATTTGCAATCGGTTCTTCGTGTTTATTGTGAAGGGTTGTGATACAGAGAGAGAGAGAGAGAGAGAGAGAGAGAGAGAGAGAGAGAGAGAGGAGGGTAGGACGTCCTATTCTTATTCACATGGCACCCTTGAAGCTTCCAGAATGTCAAGTTTAATTTGTCCCCATGTTGTACGGTCTATCTGTAGCGCCCATGCATCAATCCTCATCTGTCTTCCTCTTGAGTTTCTGTACAGATTTCAACTGGTAAATTACAAGGCCCTGGATCTTCGGGATTGAATCTGATTGAACCAGATTTTATGAGAGGGGAATCATTTCAGTGGTTCTTAATCATAGAGGTTGGACTCCTGTCCCTGCCCATTTCTGGCACATTGAATTTAAGTGTTAGGTAAAGGGACACATCTCTCTTTGCTTTTTATCTAACTTTATCTGTTTAATTACGGTTTAATTCCATGCAGATGCGTGCCTCCTATCACAAAAATATTATAAAAAAATTGCAGAGATTTGAATGAATAATTGTACAAATACACATTCAGGGGAAGGCTTGTTCCCGGGAACAATCAACTGGTATTTGCATTGAGACGAAGATTACAAATTAGGCAGTGATTGATTCTAGTCAATGATGGAAGGCCATTATTTCCTTTTATAATTTAGCAATATTATAATCTCAAATGAATTAGAGAAAGAAAATTCAAACTACGGTGCAAAAAGATAAACACTTTATTATAACTAATTTAGTTACACACGAGTCTGCATGTATTATATGTACATAAGTTCATCCTTCCCCCTTCAAACTAAAACATGAAATCGTATATGTACATAAGTTCATGGATACCTTGGGTGCTGACCTTTTGAACTTTGGTGAATATCCATAGATACCTTGGGTGCTGTCATTTTGAAGATTAGAGTTGGCTTCATACATGTCCTCCAACTGTTTGATAAAATGTCTGAAATAAGAGTGAATGAAATCGTGATCTCAGTAAATAACAAAGCATCATCATTATTGGACAAACATATTAATGAGATGCATTGATATCAAACATTGTTAGTTACCCTCGCAAATGAGGCATTAACAAGTGTGCAATATGTCTTTCCAAATGACTTCAGGCCGATCAATACTCGATGAAATGGCGATATGCATGCTATTATTTATAGTAAAAAAATTTTGCACGCTACGCGCTATTCTTACTAACCTTCCTAATTATTTCATGGATCCGCCACTGGCTATATAATAAGAGAAAGTCTTTTGTGTTTTGTGTCTTTAGCACAAGCAGATCTATACATAGGACAGTAGATTTTGTGTTTCTAACCTTTCTTATTTAGCACTGCAGTAACCATTGAATTACCATCTACTCCTGCGTCCATATTCGTAAAACCTGTTACTGTGACAGAAATGTGGTGAATTTTTAACCATAGAATCTAAACTTGATGTACAAGCAATATGCCATAGATACATCTTCTTGTATCTACAATAACCATCACATGATCAAGTTACAAGATTATATATCTTCTTGTAGGACAGATTATCTCGAAGAGAAAGGCAAAGCAAAGTCATGTACAATTTGAAACAAACACAATTAAGGAGCCCCCACAATGAGTGTTGTACATTATGATTGGTGCATGAACGTGCCACATCTGTGGTCTTTTTTAGCGCACAACTCCTACGGATATGGTTATTTATATGCCAAACTTATCAAATAGTTGCTATATGTGATAGTGGAATGAATAGTTTTAATGATAGTTAGGTCTTGTAGTTGTAGCAAATCGTTTTTCAGCAACCAATAGAGGCTGCTGCTGCTGCAATTGCATAAACTAGTGCCTCATGTATATCCCCTTGTGCCTAAGTAATGGTTGGTCCTCATAAAAACCCTTAATATATAAAGGCAGATTGGAAAAGAAGCATACCTCATTTAGTAGAAAGAAACAAGATATTGTTAATTTGCGGAGAAAAAGCAGTTCAAACTTCATAAAAGTGGCCAATTGATTAACTGGTTGTTAAGTTCGAATAAAAGGTGTTTTCGTCCCTAGCTAATTTCAATCCTCTTATTCTTAGTTGAAACGTTTTATTGTCAGACTGTTTAACAACACAATTAAGATGTTTATGTTTAAGTTTGAATATTGATCAAAATGACTGTTGCCTAAATATTGACTAAAAATGTGATTCAAATTCACAGTATGACAAATGACAACAAAAGTTTGACAAGAAAATAGTACTCACCCTTTCAAACCAGTTCTCACTTTCTCACGACCATTAATATTTTACCACTGTTGCTTTTCTCCTTATATCTTCTTCATGGGTAAATAATAAAATAGTTTCATTTCCTAATCTTTCATACTCACAAAGAAGAAGACTAGCTAGGTCAGTCGATCGAGCAGTTTTTTCAATTCTCTTACAATACAGTAATTTAGAATATATATCGTCTTGTAAAAATACGCACGGAGACAAACAAATGCATGAATTAATGAGATTATGTGAAGAGATGGAACAACACTGAGTAGAATGGGACCAGTCATGTGAAATAAATAGATACAATACAAGTTATATACAAGAAAAATAATTCTGGTGACTAACTTTATGCAATGGAGGATCAGCCAAAATGACCTATGAAAAATGGACCCAGTAGTTCTGGAAACCAAACATTATTTAGTTCGTGGATCATGCCATCTTATCCATTTACCTGAAAATGACAAACCCCTAGTTTATTATCTAGTGCTATGTGCGTACGTTAGCAATCACTCAACTCTCCTTTTCCATCTTTCTCCATAAACATTTCTTCATTCTAATGAAAATGGACTTGTATCATTTGTTGTCTATTTCGTTACTTGACGGAAGGATGGTTAATGTTTTTTTATCAGACTTATTTTCGTTAAGCACATGCTCATGTTGTAATTCGATGAATATGGATGCATTCATTCATAAAAGAATAAAATAAATCCCTAACTCAAACTCATAATCTTACTTATGGCATCAAACAAACTTTAATACGAGAACTTTTCACATCAAGAGCTTCATTAAGAATTTCAAAAGGAAACTACAAGGAAAAATAAAAGATCTAAATGTCCTACGAGGGAAGAGTAATTATATACGTGTGTGCGAAAAGGGAGGAGAAAAACTATATGTACCTGAAAGGTCACGATAGCAGCAAACGAAGAGGGTTGTCTAATGTTGAAAACTTCAACCCTAAAATAGCTTCCATGTGAAGTAAGTGGTAGGGCAATGTGTATGGGGTCCCAGAAAAGATGGCCAATTGTCCATGAACACCAAAGTTGAAGTGGGTTTTACCTCAGCAGGAATCCAAGACTCAGTAGAGGACACTGTCCAATATGTGTAGGACAGTGCCCTAAAAATTAGGCTTTGAAATAACCACGTCCACACAAATATTACATAAAGCTAGCTTCGATTTCACAGGACAGCAAATAATTCACCAATAACTTACAACTGCACTTACCTCCATGGACGAAAGAGAAAGTAACAAGTACCCATCTCAATTAAAAAAAAAAAAAAGAAACACTATTAAGGGTTTCTACCACGTATCACATACAAACACTTTCTGACCGTTACTGCTAATCAAATGAACGTATACAATACGTGTTCATATAGCCTGATTTTCTCTGCATTTAAACCGTGGTAAGCATGATACACAAGAATTTATGCATTATTACAAGATGACGGCAAGGTGGACAAAAATGGGTAAGAGGTTTGTGCAATGTGCATTATCAGTGGGGAAGTGTTTGTGAGAGAATGATATGACCCAAAAGTTGCATGGAAAAATAAGCTTTTTTAGCCAAAATTATTTCTGAAATTGACATAACTCTTTACTTTAATCATTGACATTGAAACTTACCAAAATAAGAAGATATGTCAATTTTAGAACTAATTTTAATAAAAAGCCTAAGAAAATACTTCTGATATTCAATACCTGCTACATATGTAATAATTGTATGTATCGGCACCGTGTTGGTTGGCCTCCCACATCCCTCTGTAGTAACGCACATAGAGGACACAAACTTGTTACGGGTTGGACTCGAACGAAACTCAGGTGATGGCGTGAGTAACCAGAAATAACAAACTCTGTTACTCCTCCAGCAGTAACCTAGAAACACAATATCTTGTTACGGAACAATCACTCTCTGCTACACGGCATTTTTTATTTTTTATTTTCCCTTTCTCGATAAAAAGAAAAGAAAATGAAAAGGGAAGGTGAGTATGAACAACAAAAATTTGTTTTATTTTGAATTCATCGATTGGACAATCTTCCTAAAAAATGCACAAAGTTTTTAATTTATTTATTTTACCTCCACATATTTTTAAGATTTTAAAAATTTTAATTGTACTGAAATCAAGACTTAAGTATTGCCGGCGCTACATATCGAGTTAGAAGTGGTGAAGAATTTTCAAAATTCATTGTCAAGTACATAAATATAGTAAAGATACGTTCAGTTGTTTGATCGTTTGATTATGTTAGTGGGTTTGATTACCTATAATATAGACACGTTTAGTTTTATGATATATTTAGATTTCTGTTACATTTTGTTTCTTCGTATATTTAGAATATAAACATATACGTTTATTTTCAAATATATCATAAGTTTTAAATACATTTTTCATGTAACTATATGTAAAAAATTTAACAAATTAATGAAGTTTTCTTATGAAACTGTTAGTGACTTTTTCTAATGTACAAGGAGATTAATTAAATATAATAATAGAAACAAAAAGTTCTCTCTTTTTTTAGTCATAATGAGAAATTAGTTAAATTAAAAAATTTAATTGAAAAAATACGAATTTAAAATTCTTAGATTGTAGGAAATTAGTTGTTAGCTAGCTTAAGTGGATATATAATTATCTATTATTACGAGATGATAGAGTCCACTAACACATATATTCTCATCTCTATTAGAAGTTGGTACTAATGAATAGTAAAATAACAATTTTGTATATTAAATAAATAGAAAAATGATGAGTTGGAATTGATCAAAGCCTCTAAATCAAATTTTGTTGAGGAATTGATGTTTAGTCCAAACAAGTTGAAAAGAACGTAGGAGATTCTAATTACTCCAAAGAAATATCAACAACAAAAATATGGAGAATGGTATCTACATTGTAAATCAAGAATAATGCTATTTGTTTATTATTTATTTATTTATTTTTGTTCGTTATTTATTTTTTGTTCATTATTTATTTAAAATAATTAATTTTGAATCCACATTCAAACAAGAATATCGTTTTTTTAACCCAATTGTATTAACAAAGACTTGAAATGCATCGTTTCGTCTAGAAAAAACAGTTGATTTCCATAGGTTTTTATTTTTTTTAATGTTGGTGTTGAATGAGTGTATTTTTACTTACCACTATTTAGTGTGGTGTATGCTTATCATTCTATTTATCACTATTAGATGAGTTTGAATTTTAAGATTCGTGTCGTAGATAAGCATAATTCTCATATTCAAACTCAAATAACGATGATAAATAAAATAATGAGCATACATTACACCATACTAAAGAGTGATAAGCAAAAATGCCCCCGGAGTTGAATTCCTTGGCTGGGTGAGTCATAACTCGTGAGACGCACATGTCACAACCTTCCCACCTCTTCCACGTGTCATGACATAAGCTGGAGTTCATGGAATGCCCCTAATACTGTCGTGCACATTATCATTGTCAAAAATATTAACTTCATTGACTCTCTTCCTTTCTCTTTCTCACCCTCTGTAGCATATAGTGGTGTGGAGCCCTTAGCTGGGCCTTTGCTTTGCTGGCTTCAAGCTCTCCAATCTCCATTGTTGGTCTTTTATGGGGCTTGTATGCTGAAGAGAAAGAGAAAGTTTTCATTTTTTCAGTTTTGCCCACTATTTTCCTCCCCTAAGACCTTTTTTAATGCTCCCATTCACTTTCTCCGCTTGTTCAACAATCTCATCGTCTTCCACAAGCACTTATTGGAATACATGAACCAAAAGTCTGCTCCTTGTTTTTGACCCCATGGATCCACAGATCTAATGGTTCCCTACCCACGTGACCTTCTAGATCTTCCTCCAATTCAGCTGTTGCAAAAAGCTGGTTCCAACAAGCAGAAGCAATCAAATTAGGAATTGGGTAAGTCTCCTTTTGCCTTCTAGGTCCTGGTATTTGAGAAAGAAAAGTGCTTTTTATATTCTGATTATTTGGGTGCTTTTGGAATTTGTGAAAACTGAAGATTCATTTTTAGCAATGTGAAGGGGAGACCTTCTGGATTATCAAATGGCTGACCAAGCTCTTTGTTAACGAATAAAATATTTTCAAACCTCCCATTAAGTTTCTGTTGATTTTTTCTCAATACCAGCAGCTTTTGTGGTCATGGTATTTTGTTTTAAATGGAAACTCAGATGGGTTTTTGGGAATATTGGGTTTGAACTCGTCATTCCTTCTGTTTGGGTACAATACCCAACTGAAATTCAGTGTAAGGGTGGCTGCTTTATGTTGTTTTCTTGATCTGTTGGGTCCTGATTGTCCTGCTCCGATTGAATGAAAGAAAAACAGTTTCAACTGTGCACTTATTGACTTGTTGTATTTTTTTGCTGTGAATGTGTTTTGCAGTGAATAGTTGAGCTGAGAAATAGAGGGCAATACTGATACTGTTTAGGATTGGAATTTTGGGGGCGGAGGGTTTAATTTAAGTTGTTCTTACATGTGGAGATTTTGGAGGTTGTTTGGATGAAATGAGGGATGTTATCAGAGTTGATGAACTTCTTGAGGTCCTGTTTTCGGCCGAGGTCGAATCGATACGTTCATACTGGTGCAGATTCCGGGGGTCGCCAAGACGGGCTCCTGTGGTACAAAGACATAGGCCAGCACATAAATGGTGATTTCTCAATGGCTGTAGTTCAGGCCAACAATTTACTTGAGGATCAGAGTCAGCTGGAGTCGGGTAGTTTGAGCACACATGAATCTGGCGCCTATGGTACTTTTGTTGGTGTTTATGACGGCCATGGGGGGCCAGAGACGTCACGCTATATCAATGATCACCTCTTTCAACATCTCAAGAGTAAGTGACTCTAGCCTTTCGAATGGGATTCTGAACATTTTGAGTCCCTTCAGCAAGCCTTGTGGCTTTGTGGCTTTTGAATTGAAATTTTGTTTGGCCCTTGTATTGGTGAGGAATTTGATGGGTAGAGATTTAGAATAGAGGGCATCATTTAGCTATGTGGTGCATTAGTGGGGATTTCAAACCTTGCTGAGTTGAAAAGAAGAGAACCTTGTGAATGCATGTTTGATTATGTTTTTAGTGTTCAAAATGATAACTCGCTCTTACATAAATTTAGTATTTGTTGCAAAGGCATGTTCAAAATGACGATCTGAATCGAGAACCCTGAGAATGCATGCTTGATTATTTTTTTCAATGTTAACAAAAGATGAGTCGCCCTTAATTAAGTTTAGTGTGTGCCGTAAAGGCAGGTTAAAGTCAAGGATTTTGCATTGTTCTTATCAGCAGCTAATGGTGTAGCGTACAGAAAGTAAACTTTACACTCCATTAAGTGCATTTGGTCTTAGATTTGTATATAAACTTCCTGTTGTAAATTTAGAGTTTCTTTGTAATATGCAGGATTTTGTTTGGAGCAGCAGTCCATGTCTGTGGAGGTAATACGAAAAGCATTTCAAGCAACAGAAGAGGGTTTTCTTTCCGTAGTTACTAGGGAGTGGCCTATGAAACCACAGATTGCAGCAGTAGGATCATGCTGCCTTGTTGGTGTTATTTGTAATGGAACTCTTTATATCGCTAACTGTGGTGATTCCCGTGCTGTTTTGGGAAGAATAATGAAGGCAACAGGGGAGGTGCTCTCTATTCAGTTGTCACAAGAGCACAATGCCTCTATAGAATCTGTGAGACAGGAGCTGCAATCCTTGCACCCTGAAGATCCACATATCGTAGTTTTGAAGCATAATGTATGGCGTGTGAAAGGCTTAATACAGGTAACTCTTTTACAGTATCAGGAAATGGTTATTGATATTAGCTCCTTGGAGTTAGACCTCGTTAAATAACTTCTCTACTTTCTTTGCACCGAACCCAAGTGGCTGTAAACACTTGTGTTCTGTCATAATATAATAGTACAATAGTGCTGCTGGAAAGGTCCCTATAGCTTTAGTTTAACTATACTTCTCCATCCCTATCCCTCAAAGAAGTTTATTGGCCTTTATGTTTTTCAGATGACTTTATCTGTGTTGCGTTGGCTATTTTACTAGTTATATGGGATTAAAAGTGGATCAAGTTTTCTTCTCATGCTCTTTCCAAGTTTGTCTTGCTTTCTTGTAATTGCTAAGCAAGAATGTGGGAATTCTCAAACTAGATGTTGTACTTAACAAAGCTACAAAATAATCAGGAACTTTTACTGATCTAGATTGCTTCTGGCTATGTGTGAAAGAATAATGAAGTTCAAACATTCATGTCTAAGGAAAATGTTGTGTGGTTGGTATGGTTTCACATCTTCAGACCAGTGATTTGGGTTTAGATCTAAATACCAGTGATATCTCTGGTAGATCATTACTCAAATCTTGATAAATATCATTCCACGGAGGAACAAGATGTGTGATCACCATTAGGTGGCAGCTTGTCATAAATGAAGACAAACTCTATGGGCAACATTTGGTTATTTTTAGTTTGCAATGTTACACAATAGATGGTTTGACTTGATATGGTTTATCATTTCTATGATATGACTCTGATTTTGGTCATTTTGCATCTTGCAGATTTCTAGATCTATTGGTGATGTGTATTTAAAAAAGGCTGAGTTTAACAGGGAGCCTTTGTTTTCCAAGTTTCGTCTTCGCGACCCTATCAAAAGACCAATTTTGAGCGCTGATCCAGCAATTTCAGCGATCCAATTGCAGCCACATGATCAATTTATTATATTTGCATCTGATGGGCTCTGGGAACACCTCACCAATCAGGAAGCAGTGGACATAGTTCAAAAACATCCACGAAATGTAAGATTTATTGTTCAATATTATACTAGTACTCGAACGATAAGGGGATTATATTTATTAAAAAAAATTGACTATGCTTATGCCTGAAAGTAGAATCAGGGAGCAGTTGTCATTTTAAACTTATTGCTAGTGTAAGACTCATGTCTCCATATTTTGTTAGAGATAATACTGGGAAAGAAATCAATTTTCTACCACACTAACCTAAGTCGGTCTCCCAGACTAGAACATTGATTCACAGAAAGTAAAGTTAGTTTTTTTTTTAAGATCATAAGATTGCCCTATAAGTTCGGGTCTAGGATGGCTGTTGCCTAGTTGTGGCTTTAGCCTCCACGTAAAATGAGAAAATGATTGCCTTATAAGTCCCAGTCAGCATGAACTGAAGACTTTCTGCAAGTTATCAAAATTCTATGGTGTTTTGGTACGTTGAATTGAGTGAAAGCTGGTATGTTATTGGATGTGTATGCATTCCAAAATCTGCAACACATCGGTTCCTGGTAGGATCCATATGTAAGAGTGGAGCCAGCTCTGTGAATAGAGCCACCTCAGCTGATTATATGGAGAAATGATGTCACCTTGTGAGATACTTGAAATGATCCTTCCATGAAGTCATTGTTTAGATCCTGTTGAAAACCCATGGTTTTGTAGGACATATTCAAATTGCTATTAGAGATCAAGCAGTAGGCAGTGCATATTGATACAGTAGAGCATTCAACTGGGTTTCTATAAACCAAATTTTCAGACTTTTATAATTAGGCCAAGTAAATTTATCTGTATTGGTTCATGTACTCTTAGACAGGAATATCACTCTACTATGTGCACGGTCGTCAGAATCAACATTTTCCGGTGTGCCTCCTGTCTTTGATGAATAACTGACCTATAAGTTTTAGCTGTATTTTAACATCGGGTTTGTGGGGGAGAAAGAACCGCTGTTCTTATATTTTAACTTCAGATTTATTTGCCCTTCTTATTACTTCTTGCTCACAAGTCAGTCTTCTATGGAAACTCTTTCCTTTACAGAAGAGAATTTAACTTTTGTTTCCCAACCTCATGCAGGGAAGTGCAAAAAGGCTGATAAAAACCGCCCTGCAAGAAGCAGCAAAAAAGAGAGAGATGAGGTATTCGGACTTGAAGAAGATTGACCGTGGGGTTCGCCGCCATTTCCATGATGACATAACGGTGATCGTCGTGTTTCTTGACTCAAACCTTGTGAGCAAGGCTAGTTCTGTCAAGGGCCCGAACCTATCGGTGAGAGGAGGTGGAATCAACCTGCCTCCAAACACTCTGGCTCCATATGCCACGACAACGGAAGCTGGCAGTACCTGAGCAAACGGTATCTCTCATGTGTGTTTATCTGTGGTACCATTATCTTGTGTTAATACGAGGAGGAGCCGGCCTTCAATTCTTTAATGTACACTGTAACTTTTGACTGGGAATCTAATACTTGCATTTAGCTTCTGTGTCAACAACGGACAGGAACTGGAGAAGACAAGAAGGTGACAGTTCACAGCTATATTTCCTTCACAATGTTCTTATCCTTTCCTTTTTTCTTCTTTTTTTTTTCTTTCTAAATTTCCGTCGGCATTTCAGATCTGTAAATTTGTACGACATGGCGAATTAAGTATTTTTACTTTCATTTAGTTGTTTGCTTGCTCTTTTTATTTGTTAAGTCTACGTATCATAATATAAGTGAAGAAATTATAAATCTTTCGATAGAGTACGAAAAACTTTCTACCAACCCAGGAAGCTGAATATGAAACTTTCTACAAACTCAGGAAGCTGAATATGAAACTTTCTAAAAACCCAGGAAGCTGAATATGTGGCAAAGACTAAGCAAGAAAATTTTTACAATACAAAGGGTTAAAGCTTAAAAAAGGTTGATAGAATAAAGAGAAGTGAAGATTGCATCGCAATAAGAGAGATGGAGAGGAAAATGAGGCCAACTCGGAATAGAAAAGAGTTTGATTTAAGAACACTGTTGAATTTTAAAGGTTTAGACTGATATACAACAATATCTATTAAGACAGCAAAAATAAAAAACAAGATGGGCCAAAGATCATTTTGATCCCCCGAAGGTTCCGCCCATGCATAGTGTACCGTATCGTGTTTTTCGGTGGACTAAAAATCTCTCCATGAACATATGGTTTTGAAAGATGATGAAAGCATCTGTGCCTACTATGTACCTGTGAATTGTTGTTTTCTTCATAAAACTGTGATAAAACCATAATCTGCAATGCAATCTCTGTGAGGTTCTGGTTGTATATGTAGCTGCCATGGCCTGGCATATACAAATACAAATATACAGCTATCATGCAATAATACATGTAATCCAAATCAAATTCTAACAAGGTCCTACAAGAATTTTCAAATTAAATATTGGAAAAAAGAGAAGTAGGGAATTACGAGGAGAGAGAGGGAGAGAGAGAGTGTGTGTGTTTTTACTGTCTCACTTGTCACTTGCCTGACACCATCGGGCATATTCCCACCAACTCAGATACGAAGCAACACTTAATTAGTTTAACCTAATGACCAACTAATTATTTTAATTTTGTACTGTAATCTAAGTTATCTAAACCCTAGACAGAGGCACAACACCCAATGCCACTGTTCCTAATACCCTTTTGGATTGCGATTTGGAGCCTCTCCTGAGCTCAGCATGCTAAGCTTATTGAGCAAATAATATGGACTGTTGGATCAAAATCTAACGGCTATAATTATTATAATTTTTAAACAAGTTTCTATTTGTAGTCGTTGGATCAAAATTCAATGGTCCATATAATTTACTTAGCAGGCTCAGGATGCTGAGCTCAGGAGGGGATCCAAATCCTTTAGATTGATCTCTCAATCCATCTCTGAAATTGTGTGAGTCAGATTTCAAACATTTCATTGACATAAAAAAGAAATACGAAAATACTATTTCTTGAATTTATACCTTATCATGTTACGGACATACTATTTTTTGAAGAATAATATTATGAAGTCAAGTTTTTAAATTAAATTTGTAATTCAAATAATGTGTTACCAATAAAAAATAAGCACGTTAATTAACATTTAAGTGATAATCTAATAATTAATAATTATATCATTTGTTTATAAATTTGATTTCTATAGCATTATCTATTTCTTAAATATGGCTTATCGTAATGAGCTTGTTGCTTGGCCAATCATGTTATGAACATACTATTTTTTTGAATTTATATCTTATTAGTTTCAATTTGGTCATCAAAATAAATTATTGGACCCAATAGTCCTATAAGTCAACTCGGTTCAGAGCCCTGCATTTGAACCATAGTTTCGGTTTTGTTCTCAAACTAAATAATTAGATTTGTTAATTCTTTGGAAATCCTAAAATAAAGAAGAATATTGTTAACATTTACCATAACTAAACCGAAATGCCAAAATAAGCTACGTATCAATCTCCATTTATTAAGAGAATGTCTTAAGTTCGACTATTGGATAGAATATGTATATATTTATAGTAAATTTAATAGCTAATTATCTAATTTGATGTACACAAAAGGGTCAATAAAAAAAACAAAAAGAAAGAAAAAAAAAGGGTCAATCGTCAATCTAATGATTATGTTCCGAATAAGTACGAATTTTGAAGAGTCATGTAAGCTAGTACTTCAAACAAACATGTAAATATGGGTAATTGCGAATTATTATCATGTTTTACAGTTTCTTTTTATAGTGTATGAAGTATGAACATTTACAAATGTCACTTCATGTGGTACATCTGGAGCAATCAAATGGTGCAGAAGACCATTTGAAGCGAGATCATTCCAAATGTGTCACTAAATACGCGAGTGTATATCACATCATTTTGACGTGCTCATTATTCAATGTATTAGTGTATTGTAAGACGATTAACCAATTTATTTAAAACTCAATCATTCATTCGCGATAAAATATGTGTGGAGAGAGTTTTTAACTTTTCAACTCTCTAACTATTACCATTCTAATGATTAACCCATTTATCTAAAAACTCAATCATTCACTTGTGAAAAAATATTCGCGGGAGAGAGTTTTTAACTCTTACCATTCTGATTTTAACTCTTACCATTCTTTCTTTTTAATTTATTTTTTGTTTCAAGAAAGCATAAGAAGTTGTTTCTAAGGTGACCTGCAAAGTTCATGTGGAATTCAGATCAGATGTGGCAGGGTGTACTCATTGCACAAATTAATGGTACCACCTGACGGACCAAACAGGAACTTCCTTTTCTTTTATGTCACAACACTTTCAAATCCTTGCAAAATCCAAGTGCAATAGATTTCACCTCCAAGGGGTATATTTGTCTTTAACAGAAAGACAGCGACGGTTGAGATTTTCACCACCTAAAATCCCCATGCATTGCTTAATTCAGTTTTCATTCGTGCCAATTAAAACTCTAATTCAACTGCCTCTTAAGTTTGATCCTTGCACAAGTAAATACCAAGATTTTAAAAGATTTTAGATGCTAGTCAGACAGCGGATTAGGGCTTAATTTAGATTTAAGTAAATTTATTATATTTCGTGTAAATAAGTGTCTGTTTATACTTAAACTATATATAAACTACAAAATAAAATAACATATATATTATGAAATATTGGAACATAATGAAAATATTGAGAACAAACATATAATGTGTGTTCATTTTAGTATTCAACAAGTTTCTTACAATTTATTAAAAAAAAATATGCAAAATGAAATTTATCTATTTTCTGTCTATGTAAGCCGCAACCTAGTCGGGTGCCTAGGCGAGTCTGGACGGGCTAGGTGGGCGCCTCAGCAGGTCTAGGCTCTTTTTTTTAATTTTCAAAAGCCTACGCATTAATCGGGACGGTGACCAGCTGCTTAAGCGGCACTAGGTGGGAATTTTTAGAATAGTTACTAAATATTACACGAGAGATTGAATCCTAATCACAAGTGTAAGAGTAAATATTAGACATTCTTAACCGAGTGAAAATAATAACCCTTCCTCCTTATACGCAAAAATGGAATGATGATCACGTTCAATCAATTGAATTACTCGTTGTACATATCTGTTTACCCTAAAAACTACCAAGCCTACGTGGCACACATGTCGAGTAATTAATAAGCGAACTACATCATTCGGTTGTGTGCAGAGTGTGCCAACTCGTCGGCCGAGTTCAGCCAGGGAGTAAAATGTGTTGATGTCGCGTTGGGTGCGCTGCTGACTTCTTGACCTTGCGATTGCCGCCGAGGAAGGAACACGTCTCGGCTTTCGGGTTCTAGGGCCTAAAGACAAGGCTGCTAGTCTTACGAAGTTCACAGATCGTCGGCGTTGGGTTTGGTCACGGTGATTATATTCGTAAAAGTATAAGCACGATGAACCGGTACCAGACTATACAGACACAAGTACTCAAAAGAGATGTATGTCTTGATGGTGAATGTGGTTCGGCCGTCAGAATGCCGAACTCTAAAACTTACTTGTGAATACCTAGTCATAAAATAACAAGGCGTTCAATGTGCCGAGCCCAATAATCTATAACACCTCACATCGCTAAGAAGGGTAATAAGATGACATCTATCAATAAGGACTCGAAAATCTTTCTTGACTGAGACTTGGATAGGTAATCAGTCGGCCTCGACGCAGTGCTGTTTATCCAAACTGAAGGTGCTCAGCAATTGGCTGATTTCATGACAACAGTGCTGTTTATTCAAACTGAAGATGCGTTAGCGGAAAAAAGAAAATAAAAATCTTAAGGTTGTTGAGAGGTTTCCCGTAGAGCGAGAGTTTGCGCAGGGCAATTTGTGTGTTGAATTGGAAATGCCTTGAATGTTGCCTACAACTCTTTATTTATAGCAGTGAACCTATTTATGGCCTAACCAGAGATGTATCCAGACTAAAACTCCCAAATCTAATCTGATTAGGATTCGGCCAATCCTAGTTTCAATAGGTCTCTGAACCAAGCTCTATAATGAATCTGATTCATTCCCGAATTCTCAATGCCTTGAACTTTGAAACCCCCTTGTTATACCAGGACTTGACTTATTCGTTCTAATCCAAATCAATCTTTCTTGCAATAGGAAGCCGACCTGATTGAGCTTCTTATGACAACTGGACGGCCCATAGTATTTCTGAAAGAGTGTTGGACAGAATACAAACCTAATCTCGGCCCAACAATATAATTTTGGGCCCAAACATTGCCCATTGCTTCTGAGGTCTTCGGCCTAGAACTCCCTGGCCGAGTTTCGACCTTGAAAAAGTGAAATCAAACCCTTAAAGTACCTTTGAAAGACAACGAAAAGTCTTGAATATTCCACCCACAAGGCGTATTTATGAAGCATGATTGCACGATCTTAGTTTTGTTAGACACCCTGCCACGTGGCATCTCTTTAGCATGTTTATTCTTTCTTAATACTAAAGTGTCCCCTCAAAACCAAACTCTCAACCACATGCCATCATTATAACCTTGATGCGCGAATTTTTGGTCTTTTTGAGACGTGCGGATACCCAAACATCTCTTCACCATTAAGCTCACCGTCACACGCCATCGTGTAGTCTCGATCTGCAAGTTTTTTGATCCCTTCACCTAGTTCATCATGATTAGGGCTGGGTTTGGTTCAAAATTTCGGTTCAGTTCGGTTCGGTCCTTTTTTTTTTTGTTTTGGTTTTTTTGGGTTTGGTTTTGGTT